TTAAAAACCAGAATATTGGAAAATACAATCGTGGACATAAATGTTGACAATTTTTACGCACGCACGAAATTTCTAACATTCTTCGTCGATAAAACCTTACTCTTGCCCCCCCTTCCCCCAATACAATGTTGTGTGGCTTTCTTTTCATTGGTTGTCCATTCATTAACCCCTGCATGCAACATTGATGYGGGAGGGGAGGGAGRKAAKRGGAATATTTTCAGTTTATGCACACGATACAGTATTTTTAATGCTCCAGCGAAAAATTGGCAAGTATTTATGTCCACGATTGTAGGTAAATACTTTAGCTTTTATAGAGTCGCTCTGAACATTAATTGAAGGTCTTTTCTCTTTAATATAGAGCATTTCAAAAACAAGGMAATCAAACTTCGTTTGGCATTTCCTTAAGATCTTGAAAAAGACGTTAATGTCATCCGGTAAAGATTGGTGTTTGCGTATAAAGAGTTTCTTTATACTTGAGGAGTCATTGCGATGTTCATCACAGCATTCGTGTAGATGTCTGAGGGTATAYCCCACATAGCTCYCATCACAAAAGCCACATTTGAATTCGTACACAACACGTTGCCTGTTGACTAAAGTTGGTTTCTTTTCGCAATATTTCAATTCGTCTCCAAGTTTACGGCTGGTAAAAACGGGTTGTAGAGCGATATTAATTTTATTACCGAGGTCTTTCAGGCGGCRTTTAACCAWGTCAGCCGTTTTCTGTTCCTTGAAAGGTAGAACGATGCGMGCAACTTTCTCMGGTGTCTTAGAGCTAGTGTCCATGTTAATAGGAGATTCCTTCCTTAAGACGAACTTCTTSATGGTACTAAAAATTAGGTTTTCCGGGTAGTGCAGTTTGGTAAACACATCTTCCAGACGACAGCACTCTTGGGAGAATGATTCMTTCGAAGACGACAAGCGCCACRCCCGATCAAGCATTGTGTTCAGTAGGCAATGTTTATATCGCGCATCCACATGACTATCATAATGCAGCAATAACCCAGTGTTGGTGGGCTTGATATAAACTTCGGTCGCGATCTTGTTGGCTGTATTGACCAGTTGCATTCCGACGAACGGTAGAACATGCTGATTTTCAAACTCGATGGTAAATTCCAAAGGCTTATAGCGTTCGTTAAGTAATTTGAGGAAATCATTTGCTGAGTTAACGTCGGGCATAATCGTAAGGKTATCATCCACGTATCTTTTATAATAAGATGGCATATTTCCGTCATGTTCGAGTTGTTCCTCAATTGAACACATAAAGACATTAGCCAGGAGTGGTCCAAGGGGAGATCCCATTGCTACACCGTCAAACTGTTCATATAGAACACCGTCAAACTGGAATAATTGATCTTTGGTTGCCGCATTCAGGAGGTCAGTAAGGTCTTGCTTGGTTATATTTAGATCATACTCAAGATTGAGCCAGTTGTTGTGAAAAGCTTTGTCAACGAGTAATGATATGGTCTTATCCAGTGGAACATTAGTAAACAAAGAGGTGACGTCGTAGGACACGAGGATATCGCCTTGGTTGATCTCTTTATCACGCAGCTATCACCGATTCCAGAGATCTTTACGATTGACAATTCTTGTTTTAATACCAAATTGTTTTAATTTTTTTCAATCTTCTAAGGCCTGCGCTATACGCCGAACTTCACATGTTTCTATTTTTCATAACTACCGATGCTAACTCTTTTACTTATTTTCTTCTTCTCACGTTTCTCCATCCTTTCGTCTCTTTATTCTTCTCTCGGCTTGTCCATTCCCATACACACTTTCAATTTCATGTTCATTATTATCCTTCGCATGAGATACGACATATTAAATAAGATTCGACATACCGCATGAAATACGACATATTAAATAAGAAATACGACATATTGCATAAAAAATAACTACTAACAATGACACATTTCATTAAATTWCGATACATAATGTGGTGAATTTCTATATTTCTTGCCTTGATATAATWTATATTGCATATAGGTACGACACATTGATCAGTGCGAAATATAACATTGCATTTTTGTCCATAATCCCCCTCCATACAGTTCTACTGCTGGMGACGGTGGTTGACTTGACAAGCGCGGGTTTCAGTTTCAAACATCGAAGTTGTTGTGGAACTGAGTGAGTTTTMGCTGTGGTCTTGGGAAATATACTGGGAATATTTGCATTAATTCTTTTAGATGTCGATTAAAACTTGAAAATATATCTTAAGGACCTGCTGGTTCAGAAACTTGAGTGTCTTTAGGCTTCACAATCATAATGAAGTCGCAGAGATGTCAGAGATGTATTCGTTCAGCTATTTGCTTTCGGTCTCTTGGAATTGGATTTCTTTGCTTAAGAATTTTTCTCTCGGCGGAAATTCATCGAGTTAGCTTTTCATCACTCGCCGTTTTAGCTGTTGAATTTCTGTTTTTCTCCTCACAATATTAGTTGTCAATTCACTTTCTGAAATGCTTTGTCTCTAGTCATAAGAAGCTTGAAGTTGTTGATTGAATTCCRTGGTACGTTTTCACAAGTCTTTCCTGATTGGACGAAACGYWTTTYKCACGTKTKAGAAATTCGTTTCGCTCCTATGATTGGCTAGTTAATATTTTGAAACGGATTTTCAAATAGAAAAATATCTGAGAAAATCTCAGTATGTATATAATAATAAATGAATTTTGTTWATTATTAAATATGGCTTTGAGGGTTATTCCCTCATAGCCACTAACTTCACACTCTGAGATTGATTTTTTAGACCAGTAAATGATCTTGATAAATACAGCAACGAATGAGAGGAAGAAGAGGATTATCATAATTGTTGCAAGGCATTGAAAATATAGCCTGTGTAGCGACCCTAAAGGGATTGGGGCGGTCCTACCCAATCCATTTAGGGCCGCTACTGACGCAGGCTATGAAAATATAAATTTCCCTATATATCTAACCTTTGGCTGTCTTCCAATTTTCTTTAGGGTTGATGAAGAAAATTACAAATCCGTAAACAAACTGCTGACTTGGATTCCCTGAAGCATGTTGAATTATCTTAGCTTCCACCATTTTCTGTAATGTGAAGATGAATAAGTAAAAAAATGCTCTTAGAATTTTACTCCAACATAATTACCGTTCCCAGGCCTTGGCCAGCACATTTTATAAAATGCAAGCGCAATTTTTTCCCGATTTCTCCACGACTTACATCGAATGGGACAACTTTGTTCCCACTGATAAAACTATATGGTAAGTGAGGGCGATCGTTCAAGGAGATGAGACTRCTGAAAAGTTTTGCTATTTGGAGAATGAAAAACCTCCCAATTATAAAATGCAAGCCACGTTTTACCCGAGCGCATGGCGATTTCCCCACGAGTTTAAATCGACTGGGATAACTTTGCTCCCACAGAGAAAACCACATGGTATGATGTCAGTCGTCAAGGAGATGAGACTACTGAACATTTTTGGTGTTTGGAGCATGAAAAAAAAAACTTTACAAGAGCTGGATTCTGAGCGACATCTTTATACTAGTTTTTTCACGCGCGTCACGCGCCGATGACCACGGAAATTACAAAGAAATGAATGGAGAACTAAAAATGAGTTAACTCGCTCCCTCAGTCAACTAAGTCCTTCAGAACTGTCCAGTTAACTCCTTTTCGTAGTATCCAACGTTTGAAATTAATGATTCTTTCAGAATAGGAATTCAACTGGAATTATTTGACATCGATTTCACCGTGTGTCCTTGTTATTTTGCGGGACTTTGCCTACCCAAACAAAATGGTGTCCAAAACGTCACCTCAACTATTCTCAAATTTCTCAGGACCACTAGAACAGGGCATTAAAGAACTTTAATCTTAGCAAAATGACAAGCAGAATAGTTGAGTTTCGTGATCTCTTTCTGACGCTGCGTTAGCCTCAATTGTGTGCTAAAATATTCAAAAATGTACTAGATAAAACTCGTAAGATTTCAAACTATTTCCATTGCCTTCTATACTCACAGATCTGTTGCAATTTTGCACAGGCTATACTTCTAATAAAAGAATTGAAGTATTACATAGTTTTGAAGCTAACACAACGTACAAGAGATCGCAAAAAAAATTAGATATTACACTCGTATAAACAAACAATATATACGACAGGAGAGAATTTAAGGACCTTCAACTATTCACTTTCTATAGGTCCAAMAGTACTGTAAACTTAGGACAAAAAGGAAATTCAAAAAATCTTAGTCGCGAACTGGGCACGGTAAGTTCCACGTACTAGTGGTTCTCGTTACTTCATTGAATGAAACATATAAAAGATATGTCGTGAGCTAAACGCAACATTGCTTGTGAGCTAAGTCCTCACTGGCATTAACCATGAGGACTTTTATTGCTTCATGGTAAAGATTGTTGCCAATTCCCATACTCATTCACTCGGTATCCAGTCTTATGCGAGCAGCTTTCAACCCTTTACACCATCAAGTTTCCTATATCATTCCTTGGAAGAAAACATTGTGAAAACTAAGAAAACATGAGCGAATATAAACCCATTTCGAAAAACGTTATATTTGATAAGTCAATGTCAAACCAGGGGGAACGGTTTACTACATACAATTATTTGCACCGTTAAAAAAGCCTAAGCATGACGAAAACAGGTAACAATCTTTGGTTCAATGGAATACTCCCGACAAATGGGAAAGTAGCCTGTAAAGYACTCAGAGATAACAAAAACTGCGCCAGAATTTAAAGAATCATTTGAAGCTCGTCAGCATCCAATACACACCATTCAATTATTGAATTTGAAATATAATGATACTTTTAGTTTTGAGAGGGAAAAAATGCAAAGCAGCATTGAAAATAACAGATTCATAGGTATGTAAATTACTAAAGACACATTTTTAGCAACTTACATTTAGAATTAAAAGTAATTGGCTTCAGTGTCAAATTACTCATTTAAAGAAGTTTTGACGAGAATGAGCGAGCATACATTTTGAAGTATTACAATGGATGTGGACATAGCAACTGGCCAGATATTCTGAAATGTCATAAGGATAAMRTTCTGGGAGGTCAATTRCCGCACCGCATGGTGCAGGTCTACCTGGACCAATCACCAGGCTAAAGAATATTGTCAAGGAATTTTTAAAATAATGCGTTCCAACAAGTATCTCAAAAACATTAGATGGCTGCATGTAGTATTAAAAACTTGAAATCTTCTCTAATCGTCATTGCTGGGGTTTTTAATATTTAAAAATATTACATGAATGTCCTGTGATTTGACCATTTTAGAAGTCTATTTTTGCCATGAACTTACCTGTGCAAGTGCTATACAATCTTGTCTTCCATTCAGTCCCTTCACACTATGCATCATCCACTGTACACAATGTATGCTGATAAAACTATGGGGCTGCAAACCTTTAGTTGTTGGAAGAAATGAAAATCCACTTCTGAAATGGAAGTAATTTTTTTCATATTCTCCCAGAATCTCCATTAACTGTGCTGTTTATCAACAGAATTRACAGAAAATCATTATAAAGACATATTTTCCAGTGAGAGGTCACATGTAGGGTTCCTGTAGCTACCACGATTCAGTGAAATATTACCAATCTACAAATGTCATTAAAACTAAAAATAATGCGTTGACAACAAATTACTAAACAACCCGATCAATTTTATTTTGATGCGGAAAAAAATTTCATCTTTTATATCTAGTTTTGGTATGAAAACTTCTTGATGATTKATAAAATTGAGTGACATATTTTGTGATCAAACATGAATGGTATGTCAAAGACATAACCCAGTCGAGTTACTTKAACTCGTTTGATCTCACTATAGTACTATTGGTTTTTGGCAAGATAGTTGTAATCATGTTCATTTGATTATCTGAATTGATAGAAATACTTGTAAATTAACTTTAAATACACGTACATGGTGATTTCGTTTAGGATTTTCCTACAAACAACTCAAGAGAAATAGAATAGAATATTAAAGTGAATTATCATCGTTGGCCGTAGTCAGGCATAATCGTGACGTTCACATCCAAGTCACGTCGAAACTTAGACACAATTCTTAATATTATGTAAATTTCAATAGTTAAACAAAGTTTTTTTTTTTGATATATAATATTGGGGCGAGATGGCATAGTGGGGGCGATATGACAATGGGCCGAGATGACCGGTAAAGATTTATATCAGATAATATCTCATTAATTTTCTAACGCCCTGTTTGGTTTGTCACAAATTTTTCAAGACCCCTTAGAAAAATTATACTAGGTATTTTTCGGAATATTATACTCCCACCCCTGTCATAGGCCGCCCAACTATTGCTTGAGAGACAGAAAAGAACGAATGCGCACGCTTTTAATAAGTATATATGTTAACGGCGCGCGCTCTTTTTAGCGATCCCTTGCCTCGTGGGCCTACACACTCTGTCATAGACTCGAGTAGTGTACACCTGCGAGGCAYGGGATCGTGATGTGATGTACTTCTGTGTAATCAGTATTTGCTAAGGGCACACGCCGATAAYATATACATATTAAAAGCGTGTGCATTCGTTCTTTTCTGTCTCTACAGCAATAGTTGKGCGGCCTATGCTCCTTTTTGGTATCCATCTTCAACATCTTGACGTTTAGACACTAATAAAAATTAGGTAACAYCTAATAGCGGAGCTCCAATAGATAGAATATGATTAAAGAGAAATTATCTAGTACTACTATTTCAAAGATAGCCTTAGAAGAGATGTGTTATTTCAAGGAATGTATAAAACGCATGAGAATTTCGTACTTTGAATGTGTTGACTTATCTGTAGATTTTTTTCCGATGGACTAAGTTATTATAATTTGTAAATGTAAACTGAAACCACTCGGCAAAAAAAGTCTACATAAGCTTACAATCAAATTGCTGAACAATTCTAAGTYAATCATTAATTATTACTTGTCGGGTACTTACAATGCATCCATAAACTCTTCAGCAATTCTTTCAAGTGGTGAGCTAGCAGTCAAAGTATCTTCAATGCTGACATCTCTGTAAGTACATAAATTTGATGTTGAGTCAATATACATGTTGTGGACCRCAATTTATATAATTGCACACCACAATACAAAATAAAAACATACAAACATAAATTATGTCACAAACTAGGAGAGAATCAACAAACTGAAATCAGATTCCTAAAAAAGTGCCATTGCAATAATATAAATGCCAGCAAAATACCTAGATGATTCCAAAGAAAGGTTACTTTGGCTATCACAATTATTTGATTCTCCCAAACTTTTGTTTTCATATGCTCTGTCCAGTACTACAACATCTTTTGATTCAGGTCTATTGTCTGCTACATTTTGTGTATGTTTGGCCAAGTCCACATTCTTGCTATCTTGTGAATTATATGGTTTCAACAAGCCATGCTGTAACCAATGTATACACAAAACATTAATTGCTTTATAAATCTATAAGGAAATCAAACTTTGAGTGAAAAGAAGAAATTATTCCTATAAAGATATAAGCACAAGCACAGTGTTTGTGATGAAATTATAAGCAATCACCTCATGATAATTTCATATCAAATCAAAATTCCACCAACCTCCAACAAATTACACAAAAAAATGTATAATTAGAACACATCAGATTAATCAATACTCAAAAGAATGTAACATTACCATTTCAAGCTGATCTAATAATTGTCTCATTGGAAACAGCCCATTAATTAATTAATAATCTAGCACATACAAATCAGTTTGGCCAAAAACTAAAACTACAATTATGAACTAGTACATAATATACAATATGGCATATCCTTACCAAAGGAGAAGTGGGTTTTCTAGGAACTTTACTTCCCTTAATTCCATTTAWAGCTTCCAAATATTTTACCATCCCTTCTATACACACATTTGTATCAACACTATCAGTACTGTCAACATAGGGTTTCTTTCGACTTGGCATAGGCAACAGAAGAAATCTTGACTTCCARTACCTAAGAGACTAAGTGACAATAAACAAAAAAATATATCTATTAATAAATATATCTTAAATAGATAAATATAAGTAGTTTGATTACAATTTGCAATCAGTTATAATAGTACATGTAGATGTGGATAACATCGATAACAATTAAATTACAACATTCAAAAGTAAAGACAAGAGATAAGATTACAGCTTCAATGTTTTCTTTGAAAACTAAAGAAAAKACTTTTTTTAAATTTAATTCCTTTTTTTATTTGCAATTAAGGAGAGTAACCTACGGGTACCACTCAAGATCTTTTTTTATAAATATATATGAATTTACATGTCTTTTTACTTATATACAAAATACAAACAAATGAATTAACAAAATAAAGAAATTACTAGAAAAATATTGTCATGGCTTAGTCTGACATTAAGTGTTAATTAGACTGAATTGCTATCAATAGTTTATCCCACTTTTTATAATGGGTACCGGTATACATCATGTTTTTATTTGCAGCTACTCTTTGTTCTAATTTTTCATATTGTTTTATTGAATTTTTAAACTGTTCTAATACAGGTGGTTTTTGTTTTTCTCGTTGTTTGTATATGGAATATTTATATAATAAGAAAATAAAGTTAACAGTTATATCATCTACTCCCAAAAGTATATTTTCTTTATTCTAGTTTGGTAGTACAATATCATATTGTTCAAGCCAATAGTGTAGTAATAATTTTTTGCCTCAATGCATTCTACAAAAAGGTGGTCAATCAAATTTTCCATCGGTCATACTAATTCTTTTTATTATATTCTTTTGTGATGTAGGGATTTTGAATCTATCTTTGTACCATGTTATTGTATATTTGTTTAGTAGTTATTTTATCAATTCATACTGTGCTCTGTCCAAGGTTAAGATGGATGTCTTCACAAAGATTTTGTTGAATTTCCGTAAAATGTATTTTGATAATATTTTTCCAATCATTTAGAATCGCATCTACTATAACAGCCCATCTAAGGTACTCACCGTCTTGTAAGCCTTTAAATTTGACAACTTCCCATACGAAATTTCCTCTTTTGTCACACAAATCACCRATTTTGTTTATGTTTTAAGCAAAAATAGGTTGTAAAACACTGATTTGTTACCATTTARAATATATTTATTATTCCAGATAGGTTGGTTTAGTATTATTTTTAATTMATGCATGTCAGGATAATAATTGGCAAAATCTGAACACGTTTTAACGTGTTTTAACCTAGCCTSGGGGGTGGAGTGAAGCGTAGGACCCAGGCCCCGTCTGAAAATCAGGCTAGTTTTAACCTGTTAAAACAGGTTTTGTCTAAACAGATCTGGAATGTTTCTTGGTATACCTAACCCTAACCCTAAGAAAAGACTTAATAATATCTCAATATTAATCCAAAGGGATCTCATCCTAATAGAATTTACATTCTTCCTAAAAGTTACATTAAAACTCCTGGGTCCCCACATTTAATTGGAATCTATTTATCATAACTTAGCTAAGTTCCTATGTACATGTAGCCTTCTTACTAACATATCTAATACCTTACAAGCATAYTGCAACTGACACTTTTTCTTTTGTTAATGATTTTCAATCTATTGGTTATCATACTGGTAAAAAGTTTTTGGTGACATTTGATGTTGTAAGTCTTTTTACTAGCATCCAAGGAACTGAAATATTACTGTGGACTTAACTAAAACCAATTATCCTAATCTTGAAATATCTAATTCTGACCTTAAAAATTTGATTTCTTTGCTACATGTAAGACTCTTTTTTTGTTTAATGGTGTTGCCATGGGTTCTCCTTTGGCTCCTGTTCTTGCTAATCTTTTCTATAGGATTTCATGAAGATCAATGGCTTAAGAACTACACCATGATCCCGATTCTGTTTTGCTTTGTATAATCGTAGATATGTTGATGATATTTTCTGTGTTTTTAACAACAAGACCAATGCAGCTACTAATTTCTTTAATTATCTTAACACTCAACATCCTAACCTAAATTTTGTTGTAGCTTGAAGGCYAGAAGTATCCAGCCTGTTGAAATCACCAGTAATCAAAATTCTTCAGTTTGGATAGCGGGATTCAATTCTGGACAATGATTTGTATAGATAGTTCATTTAGCAGTTTGTGGATGGTAAACACCGATGATTATGTTGGATATTCCCCTAGAGAGACGAGAAGGTTGAAGATGAAGCCTAATGGCTTCGATTTTTTTGGTCATATAGATCGTCCAATATGGTATACTTSAACCCTTTCTTGATGTAAGTGCAAAYGCCTCCATGAAGAATGCCTATCCTGTCCCTTCTGACTAGATTATACCCAGGAATACTGACAATGTTGTTGTGTATTATTATGTTCACTAACAGTTGACCTTGTTTTGGGTACGTTGGAGTCGAGAAGGGTTGACACGGTTGGTTTGATGCATTCTGATAGAATTAAGCGAAGTCTGTTTTCTCTTTCCTTTACCCGACGGCTAGCTTTTTTCCCTCAAAAACGAGTCCACTTACTCCTTGTTTTCTTATAAAAGCTTTGAGGACCATAGAAAGCCATGTAATTACAAATTTAGTACAAAAACAATAAAGAGAGATAGATGATGGATGTGTAAGTACCATTAATTGATATATTTTGTGTATAAATACCTCAACCATCTCAGCAAAGTCTTGGATTCCACTAATGTGCTGGTCTAGATAGTTCCAATTATATTTATCCAACTCATCATGTTGGAACTCTGCCTCTTGAACATTTGAAAATAACAGTGTGTGGGCAATATGTAACTGATACCTAAAGAAGAAAATAAAATACTGCTTCCATCAGCATATGAAAACAATGAGTGAAACTATGACAAGTAAAGCACCTATGGCATACATTCCAATCCTATAACTCAAGGATTCCTAATCAGACTGAACCRTTAGAAATTATGGAAACCAAGCTTTGTTAGCAAACAGCAAATTCAAAATAGTAAGTATGTATAAGTAAGTAAGTATATTAGTGAACTATAGCTAATAGTGAGTGTCAGTCATGTGATCCCCRAGCAGTGTTCACAAATAATTATTTATTACCTTTTGTCTCATATACTGTTAAATTAAAGAAGAAAACCATGATCACTATCTCAGCCAAAATGGCAACATTTGATATGCTGGTCACTATTTATTGTATAATATGTGTTATAGTAAAATGCCATACCAATAATTCACAGGATCAAGTCCACGCATATGTCGTGGTCTGTATCTGGTCACATTGATTTGAGATTGTTTGGGAACAACACTGAGTCTATGAATDTTACGACCAATACTAAGGAAGTACTCCTCTGCTTCAAAATCACAATCCGTTGACATGAATGTAGAGAGGGTTGGCCTTTCTTGATGTGGAGGATCAGTCAGAATCTGAAACCCCTGACGATATATAACATTTCTATTAATACAGCAGCTAATCTCTAAAATCATTTTATTTATGTTCTAACTCCAAACATGCAATTGAACGAGGATACTCAAGTGTGATGTCAAAAAAATAGTTTTTTTCGAATTCTTCAGATTCGTTGAAATATACTTAAAGCACATTAAAAAAAAAGTTGTTATCCATCAAATTTCAGTGTCCTAGTGCCACTTATACCGGAGATACAAGCGATTTTATGGTCAGGTGACCACATACAAATGCTTGTAAAACTGGTCTTGTTCCTTTCGTTTTTGCAGATAGGACATCAGTAATGTGATAAGTTTGTTTTAGACGGCGGGAACAGAAATTTTAATCCAAACTTCACAGTATTACTATAAATTCTGATTGTTTGACGTGTGTTCCTTCCAAAGCCGTATTGGACTGTTGCTATGGTATTGGTCCAACTTCCATATTTTCCGTAAGTACTGTACAAATAGATGTGAGAGAGGGGTGTTCTAATATGATGTGGGGAAGAGTTGGTCTCAAATGCATGTCAGRTGGGCTTGCTGTGCAACTATTGAGAAACATTCATCAAGCCATCCTAGTTTATACAACTTAATGATATTGCCTAGAAGTACTAAACAATTGACATAGGAATGGCTCAAACCCTTACCTTTGATAGTCGCTGAGCTACAAGCTCTGTGATCATAGTGTTCACAGACACTGGATGACTGCTTGCTTGGTCATCATATCTGTACAATCAGATGACRTGTTATTGCAATGATGGTTACAGGTTCATGAGATCATTTATTTTGTCAGATGGAAAATTTGTTTTAAATGTATACTGTAACTAGGTAAATCTCTAACTCTGAATGCATACTGCACACAAACAAGGCAGATGTTATGTATTAGAAGCCTATAACTTAACTATTTGACATGAATAAACTCTTCTATTCTTAAAACAAAACAAAAATTCAATAGAACCTGAGAATTTCTGGCCTTTTACAAGAAAAGGTGTCTSAAATTCATTTGTCCAAAAAACAATGACAATGACAAAAAACAATGTGGTGAACTATTTTCTGCAAAACATTTTTAATTGCTGACTCTAACCTTGATAGATTGCTGGACAATCTTGTTTTAGATGCTATGAATTCATTGCTGCAACTATCATCATCATCGCCAATACACAGCTCATAATGAAATTCGAGGTAATCAGTGTCAAGTGTTTTCATGTCAGGACAATATTCAGAGGTAAGGGGTAAACATGCTGGCAAAATCAGGGACTTCCAATCAACACTTGTCTATGAAACAGATTATGTAATCAGTAGGACTGTATGAGATTGACTTTCTAAGAATTTCTTTTTTACATATTATTGAATATAAATACTATACAAAGTCAGCCACCAAAACAAAATGTGCGTAATAATTTATTATGAAAGACCTTTTGTGCCTTAGTTTGCAGACACTATTTTGCTGAAACTCAAAGTTAAAAGAGCTACTRCATAATTGAACAAACCCAACACATTAAGAGTGCTGTTAGCAACAAAAAGCTACCTAAAACCTTGAAGACTGTCAAGGGAATTTGACAAAATCTGTAAATTTTGACCTCCTCAACCATCTTAATGGAAAAATTATCATGGAATCTGATACTACAGCTACAAATGTAGAATGAAAACTAGATGCCTGAATGAGAAACTTTTAGGCTGGGCTCAACATGGAAAGACCATCCCAACAAAGAACTCTGGCAAAAATCCTCTCATTATACATGAAACATTTGGCATGGAAAATTGAGCAAGCTACAATTATCTTGGACATAAATGTTGACAATTTTTACACACACGTGGCAATTCTCATATTATTTGTCAATAAAACCTTTGTCATGGCCCCCTTCCTCCCAATACAATGTTGTGTGGCTTTCTTTATATTTGCTGTCCATTCATTAACCCCTGCTTGCAACATTGATGCTGGATGGGAGGGGAGGGGAATATTTTCAGTTGATGCACATGCTACAGTATTTGTAATGCCCAAGCAAAAAATTGTTAAGTATCTGGTGAGGTAAGCTATTAAAACATACAACCATATATGGTTAATGGTTAAAAATAAATCACAAACACAGCAATACATATATTTTTTCAGCCAACGATCTAGACTTTCCTCCTAATTTTTCAGAAGTTCTCCTAATTTTTCAGAAGAAAAATAGGGCACAGGCCAATATTTGAATTTGGGAAATCCAAATCCAGGCAATTAATTGTAAATTCAAAAAAGTACCTCAACTTCTGCTGTCCAATCCTGCTCAATAGTATCCAAGTGGTGATGAAACTTTGTTCTTATATTCCCTTTTCTCCGTCTGAGAGCCAGCTTGTCTTGTATTCTATATTGTTTGTCTTGTATGGTACAATCCTCTGATTCCAGTGCCTTTTATAATCCAAAAGAAAAAATTAATATAAGAATCTTATTTATGGTCACTTTGKAATCTTTTGCTACAATGCATGTTTAGTGACTAATATCTTATAAACCAATATTAATGGATGACATATTATGAACAGATCAAGGTAATCATCTTATAATGAATAACTAAGTCATCCTTTAGAATAATAATGATAATATGATAAATGGACAATATAATAAACACTATAAGATTAGACACTTCCTAGCTATTCAATAACATAAGCATTTTTAATGTACCTAAAACACTCTGGAAACAAATAATATTTTTTACATACAACAGGGCCTTCTTTAATACTGCATGCAGTGGGACTTACCTTTTTGTTGCTAGGAATATACTTTGTTTTGCTTTTAGATTGTTTCAAAAACTGCCTGTGAATAACAATTCCATCTTGTCCTATAGGAAAGCTATGTGCCCAACGATGTCGGTTACATGTCCATCTAAAAGCATTTTCAACAAATTAAATTAAGATGTAAGATATGATATGAATATTCTTTTTTTTATTTATGGACTTAATGCCCATAAAGGTCTCCCACTCACATTTTATATACTAGCATAGAATAGCAACTTGTAAACCATGTATTTTTTTACATGTAATAATTTGAATTGTCTAGTATTTGTGGCTTTTGCTTTGCATTAGATGATGTTCAAGTTTCTTAAAGTGCCTATGACGCCTGACAAAACAATTGCTAATTCTCTGTGAACTGACTTTGTTTGTTTGTTTGTTTATTTATTTATTTATTTATAATAAGCTTTTTAAAAAAAAATTACACAAAAAATTATAAATTGACTACAAAAGTAACACTTAACACGAATACAAAAAAGGAAATGATACAAACTAAACAAGACTACTGTAACGGCAGGTCTGTGGTGAGCATGTGCGTGAACATCCTCTTCACATCAGCCACTGACAGAGCTTTTACGTTCTTTGTAAGGCATTTGTATACTTAGTTTATATCACTACCAAACTATACCACGCCTTTGACTTCAGAATAAAAGATGGGTATTTGCTTAAGTTTTAATTTTGGCAGATTGGTATATTCACCAACTGCCTCTACTGCTCCAAAGTTTCCAAAAATGGTTTGCCAAAATCAGCCAGTAACCTTTTTCTACCTTTTTCAACTTTAAAAATYAACTTATTCTATCCTGCCAAAAAGTGAGATAAAATTCCTTACTGAGCCAATCTATTCCTTGGGTTTTATTATTCTCTCCTCGATTAGTTTCTTAATTTCCACCCTTCTATAATCTATAATTTCTAATAAAGAGTTATTCATTTTCCAAAAAGGGGGGCCATGCATCTACTAGGTAAAGGTTCGAGTTTCAGAGTTACTGCACACAAGACTGTAAGGAATTGTTGATATAGAAAGACTCTGTGAAATAGCCATTTATTTGTATTTCTTCCTTCTGCTCTGCCTTCGCATGTAAAAACTTTCTTATTTGAGTTCCTGACTCTTCAAATATCAATAAGATCAAATTCTTCTAGATTTGTCTGAAGATATTCAATAGAAGAAGTTTTAAGTTTTGGGTTCCTGCCAAATGCRATCTAAACATAAATTTCTAACAAAATTAAAATCTATGCCCCATACAATTTTTGTCTCAAGCTGCACATCAACATTTGCAAATTCATGATTTGGAAGATAAGAATTTATTAGTATAAGGCCCGGTTCATACGTCGACCCAGTGTCGCGCCGAACCAAATAGTCAATTTGTGTCGACCCAAATTCATTTGACATGACGTTGATTCATACRTCGAAYCAATTGCAGTAAAAAGGATAAGAAAAGGTCCGATAAAACGCAATTTACACCATTACTATTGTCGAAAACAGATAYTTTTGTGATTTAAGTTCAGCACRACGATTGCTCAACATATGAATCAGCATCGAGCTTTTGCCGTGCAGCATGACTGACTCTGCCGTGTCAATGCCGTGCTACGGTCGTGCCGAACTCAATTGATTCATACATCGAGCTGTTCATGTGCTAAATTCAAACTATTTGGTTGGGCGCGACGCTGACCCGATGTATGAACCGGGCCTAAAATGATTTCCTTGTATTTCACATTCAATACTTAAGTCTTCCAAAATGCATAACAAAACTGTTTTAATTTTCTGTTCTAATTTTTYGCCAATCAGAATTGCTACTCCTTTACTGTGGTTGGGCTCATGCTACCAAAAAATCTTGCCCTGAACTGATTTTATATAAACTAAATAACTAAATGGTGAAATATTGTGTCTTTGAGTTATGAACTAGGTTCAATCTTACAATATACCGGTATGCTAAATGATAATGACTCCAAAGTTCCCATATTTAACGAAGCCTTCCTTCCTTCATTAACAAATTGTAAGATTGAACCTCCATAACTCCAAGATGCAACACTGAAAAGAAGGAATTCTATTTTTTTCTTTAATATATAGAATAAGTAGTAAAAGTAAGAGTTAGTTACCGAGAACGGAGGCATTACGCTATATACAGCCCGAGGGCCGCAGGCCCGAGGGCTGTATATAGCGTAATGCCGACGTGCGAGGTAACTAACAAACTTAGTTTTCAATTCACGTGGTTTTCGCAAAAACTGAATAGTCTAAATGAATGTTTTCTTAGTTGGGATTCGAACAATAGAATCCTCTTCTCTTGAGACTTTTTCATGGACTATTGAAATTAGTTTCCTTTAAGAAAACCTGTTCATGYGAAAGCTAGCAATCGGAATTTGAATATTGTTATCAAATATTCTTAGCAGTCATTCTGGAAACGATGTCGAACAGTGACGATTTGTTTATAGCTCAAAATACGTTTGACATCATTCCTTTGCCGCCGAACTTTGATTTTGACGAATTGCTATCAGACTTGGAACTCCGCATGCCTCTGCCCGCAAATAACGATGACAAAGTCTGCAGATGGGAAAAATGAGACAGATTACAATAGTTTTTGATGTTGAACTCGCTCGAAAAAATACGCGGGAAGGATTCAAGAAGGAACAAACTAAATTACCAAATGGCCGTGTGTACGTGCCGGCTTGGATAGAATGGACCGAGGAGCGGAGAAATACGAGTCACACCGATTACTTCTGATTCATACACGTTGGTTAATTCCGAAGAATAGATTATAGTTTAAAAAGTAACGAAGATCTTGGTTATTGTTGTCTCTATTCTCTGATGAACATATGAAGAAAAGCTGCGGGACTCGAACTTATTATACTCTAAATCTCCTCAAGTTTTTCTGGCCGCACTGGTCTTTTTAGGGGAAAAATAGTTTAGTTTACTTAGTTTATTTGATATTCAGCAGGGAAATGTGGGGTTGATGAATTGAACTGAATAACTCGTTATAAATTCAGCGGGCTATATATGAGTGAATTTATAACGAGCTATTCAATTCAATTCATCAACCCCACATTTCCCTGCTGAATATCAAATCCCTCCCCGGCTTTAAGTTTCTATGTTATATACAACCCTATGAATAACAAAGAAAACCTAGTGAATTGGAAACTAATAAACGATAAAGACAGCAAGTGATTTTTACGACGTTTCAAGGTCATACTGTCCTCATTGTCAAGTACTTTTAATGGATCTATTGTCACACGTTCGTGTAGTTAAAAAATGTAAAACCAAATTCGATTGCTTGGTTTACGAGATGCTTATAATGCAATCAAAACAACCTACATTGAATGTACAATCGGATTCCCTTAAGGCCAAGCTCTTTTTGTAATTTCAATTTATGCTAATTTTTCTGTATCTAGACTTTAGCCCACAATTATTGTCCATTAAAAGTACTTGACAATGAGGACASTATGACCTCGAAACGTCGTAAAAATCACTTGCTGTCTTTATCGTTTATTTTACTACTGATTTCAAAACCACTTTTGATTAAGATATAGAATAAGCTTCAGGAAATCAGAAATAATTGTGCCAGGCATCATAGGTACTTTAATAAGTGAATGAAGCTACTGGGAATGGGTTCACCCAATAAAAATGACTGCTTTCCAACATAGTTGGCTTTATGGTCATGGGTTCGATTCCCTTTAAAGCCCAGATTTTTTATAATTATTTTTTTGGGAGGGGGGTGGGGGGTGCACATATTTCTTAATAATCACTAGATTATCATATACCCTGTGACAATCATATAAATTCAACAAATGGTCATTTTTATCTTCTGTCTACATGTATCTTTCGCTTCACTTGTATTTGATAATAATAACTGTTAGTACGTCAGTAATTTCTCTTTTGGAACAGAAATATAAATCAAAATTTATATTATGATATCTTTGTAACATTATAATGTATGAAACTACTCTCTTCATTGATGTTCATAAAATACTTCTGTTTTCTTTACCTGCAAGGAATATTTAGTGGTTTGAATGGGTTAAATAAAGTTCTTCGAGGATCATGCAAATATCTGGCTGGTAACCCTGTGAGCTTGCGTGGTGCATCAGCACTACCAACTACAGGGGACAGGTTTACTACCAATAGATCATCATCTATCAGCCCTTTCTTGTCATCCTCTCTTGACATAACCTCTACAATAAAATATTAGCTAATTAAAACATTTTCAAATATGCCAGATTCATTTATTTATTTATTAGCTTCGGCAGAAGAATAAACTACATAAATAAATAGCATTTACAAAAACAATAACAAAAGAGTGGTAGGGACCCGCAACAGCAAAGCCAATTACAGTAAACGCCAAGTAAACAATCAAAAATTCAAAAACAATTATTCTTAAGTTTAGAGAACGGGCAAAATTACATTTTAAGCAGATAGTCTTGAAGGTTTTTGGATTGTAAGGGTCATAGCAATTCCAGAGACTGTCCAGCAGATAATAATTATACAATTGGTCTCAGCCCGTAGACTTTGGAATTTCTCATGCAGCTTAACTGACAGGTGAGCCTTGAGCTTCCTGCAAACTGAATCCTTTTCTAATGAGATTAAGGATTGCACTTGTCAGCCAAGGAACAGGATTGCGACCTTTGATGCTTTTTTTTTTGTTGGGATGTTGTCTTTTACAGCGACAAAGAATAAACCTTTCCAAGCCAGCTAGCATTGATCTAGATCATCAAGGTATGTTGCAGGAGACAAATTGATTGCTTGGAGAGCATTGTTTAACCCAACAAAATAGMCTTTAGCATAATCATAAATGGATTGCTGATCTCCAACAGAGACTAACTTCTGCATTTAAACAAGCCAAACAGAAAACTGACAAAGAAGCACGACAGAAGAGAAATGATGACAAAGCAGAAGATACTAGTCTACCCATCGCAGCTTAAGTCTTCTTGCGACATTGCGTCGAAGGTTATAACACAATCCAAGATGTGTGGAGTCCAGAAGAATATACAGTAGTCAAAAGGTTAGACACAAGTAACACTTACATAGTCAAGTCAAGTGATGACCCAGATACCAAGAAAACAGTGTACAGGAAAGATATGTTACATGCCAACAATGAGCTTGATACTGTTTCCAATGATGATGAAGAACTTGACACTGAATCTGGAAACAGTACGTCAGACAGATCTGGTAGTGGAGAAGAAGTGAATGATTATGTTTCTCCAGATGACACAATTGTACACAAGTATCTCCTCAGCCAGTCAGTATAGCTGTAACGAATCAAGACCAACCACTACGTTGTTCTACGCACAAAAGGAGCTGGACAACATTCCAACCCTTTCAGGTTGCCAGCACCAGCATTTGTTGCAGAGAACACTGTTACTTCCAACCCTCACGATGTTATCAACGCTGTAGCACAGACAAACCTACTCATCATGCAAATGTTGAGCAAGAACACTTAAAACTTTTTTTGACATTCCATAGATATTTTATTGACACATTTATATGCATTAGCTTAATTCTTAGGTTGTCGAGGTCTCCAACCTCCAGCAGAAGTAAATGTATGTCACAGTATAGAATTGGAGTTCCTGTGGAATCCTGTGATGCCTTGCATCCAGCAAGCCCACGAGGTAGACTGTTTGCCATTAGTGTTTTGCTTATCCTGTTACTCAACTATTAGAACAACTCAGCTAGCTTTTTATCATGTAATCTCTCTTTCATCTAAGGAATTGTCAGGTATTGTCTTCTATCTGTTTGTAAGCAGTTATTTACCTAGTTTAAATTAGTTCAATGTATCATTTTAGGGTCTTTTGTACATATAAATAAACTTGTACTCAAAGTGAACCTGTCACAAGTATCTCAAATAATGGCAGTGAGCATATCATAAGCCATTGGGCCTGCATCCCTCATATGATGAATAAGTAGATTTCTGAATATTTATGTCAATGATCTAAACATAAATCAAGTAGTGCACACTGAAGAGAGATGAAATACCTGAAAAATAGTTGTCTTTTGGAACATGGTCTAGTGATGAAGACACAATATGCTTGTCTGAATGAACATTTCTCTGTACAATAAAAGATTTATAACAAATTGACAGTAAAAAAAAATATAAAAATACCAGTTAACCAAAAGCAGTAAGCAACAAATGAAACCAGGTTTACGTCTATGATACAATATTGGCAAAGTGAGCCTATTACTGATTACATTTGGACCAAATGTAATCAGCGAGCAAGCAAGCAAGCAAGCAAGCAAGCAAGCAAGCAAGCGAGCAAGCGAGCAAGCGAGCAAGCGAGCAAGCGAGCAAGCGAGCAAGCGAGCAAGCGAGCAAGCAAGCAAGCAAGCAAGCAAGCAATGTGATGGTTGTGTCATCTAATTCTGCCTTAGGAGTATTAATTTGTCTATTGTCATCTCAACAAATCACAACATTAATTCTGCTCAGTTCCTCGTCACCTTTCTTTACTTACCAGACCTTGCTCTCTGACATTAGATGAGTTTCCACTTGAAACACTTAGATCTTCCTGTGACATACTAGTGAGCCTGTCAAAATCTGTGTCAATAGGAACTGCATGGAATAATGGGGCAGATCTATTCTTTTTGAACTTTTCTTTGGGTCTTCTCAATGTCCTCTTGCAAAATATTTTGGCATCAAACTCATCAAAATTGACAAAATCAAGAATTTGATTGGTTTCTTGCTCATTTGCATTTTTTGGCTGAAAATTCTTATGCAAACCTAAAAATCAATAGAATGAATATATTAAACAGTTATTGCTAAGTATATCATGCAATCCTTTACAAAAAATATAATTTAAATTCATTTTAATATCAATAGTCCATTTTCGAATTCAAAGCCATTAGCTGCTGTTTTATTTGACAGAAGATTCCCTTACGCAAAGAACATACCAAAGACAAACGAACGCATGAGAAAATGTTGTAARAACAATAGCTCTAACATACATTTTCCCTCAGTTGAGTCTAATCCTGTATTCCCAGAAGGCTCATACCTTATTAGGTCTTATGGGAATACAGGGTTAGTCTWAATGCAAAKTTTYAASGCTATTGTAATAACAACATTTTSTCGTGCTCTCTTTTGTGTTTGGTCTTTGTCCAAGACAATATGTTGTCAAATAAAGCAACACTTGTTTGCTATGAATTCAAAACTGGAGTATTAAAAAACATATATTACATGTAATATTAATTTTATAACTTTTCAAAGATATTAACATCACTAATGTCTGATAAGGATTTGAAGTTTTAAATACAATKAAAAATTGTATAATTGATGCAGAAACCTTATCTATAGGTCTGGAATGACTTACATTTGTGCAAACATAGTACATGAGTAGCTCTGGCTATATATACAGTATAASGTTATGTATAGTTTACAACATGAGCGGCCATGTTGTATGGGAATTACAATCTCAAGCTGCAGGGTGTAATTTCCATACAACATGGATGCGAATGTTGTAAACGACTTGTGAAACTCCAGCACTAATTAACATGAATTACAGTGACATAAATGACGAACAAGGTAACTCCTGAGTTTAGTCGCTATGAGCATGCACAATTTACTGCGACAGAGAACATTTTGAATAATTATTCATCCCACATGGAAATCTGTTGCATATTGGAGTAATAGTTCATGAATTATTAATGTGTTGTTTATAGAACGAGAGTGCGTATTTTATCAGGATATATAGATTCCAGCTGCAGGTGATAAAACATGCACTCGAGTTTTATAAACCACCTCTAGAACTCCAACATCCAGACATTGTTGTCATTTTAGAAAAAAAACTGAAAAATACAAAAACAGTGATTRAGAAATATAAAATGACACGTGTCTCTGTCCTCTGATATAAACATGGTGGGAGTTCRAAAAACACGAGAGAAGCAAGCTTTAGTTTCTCTTGCTTCTTGAGTGTTTTTCAACTCCCACMGTATTTCCATATTTCTTTATTTATAAAATTYTTCGAGCGAAAAGCAAATTTGGCCGGTAAGCCGTGTCTCTGTCCTCTGATATAAACACGGTTGTCAGCCAATCAAAGCGTGCGTTATATATCAAAAATTTTATAATAATGCATATAAAACTTCTAATGAGTATRTGCATTGTGCCACAATTGAAAGAATTTTGATCCCACAAGGAAGAAGGCTAGGGCTAGTCTATACTAAAGTGCACGTCTGCAAATTGATTCAAACTGATTTTCTTTTTTTTAACCTAGCAAAGGTCTATGATGTGACATTAAAACTGGACCTTTGCTAGTGTTTGGTTTCAATAAAGCACTAATGAACTTATATCTGATATAGAACTGATTAATATAATATCAGTACTTTATCGGGATATAAAGGCCCATCRTGTGACCCAATAGTTCCATACTGATTGGGTCAATAGCTCATGAATTATTAATGAGTTCTAGAATTTGCCTTTACAGTACTTGTGGTACATAACTGTTTATAATTCTCATTAAAGGCAGTTTCGTACTGTATGAATACGACACTCRCGTGTTTTGGTACCTTAAGCTGTATCGTAAGTTTGATCGTTCATTGGGTAAATATGGTGCTCGTGCCACACTATGCTTTAGCCATATTATAAGYGTGATTCCTGATTGGCTGAGAGACTTTCTATTGACAACTAAGATATGTCATCTTGTCACACAACACTAGTTGCTGAATTCTCGCCACCTGTTTTTGCGAAGTTTTCGACCGACAAAATTTCATCAGAAAAGATTTGAAGATTGTATCAATATTCCTCTACTATTTTTTTGGCATTTCGAGACCTCACTGGGTCCGATCTGTTGAGAAAATGTAGTCTTGTTCTCTTGTCAGCTTGATAAGATGATATTGAAAATAAATAGACCAGTTGAATTAGCTTTTACTTGTATCTATTCGAGTTTTTAGTTTATCAAACTTTTGGGTATACAAGCACTCGCTCGTGACTTGTTCAGTCAGAAATTTTCAAGCATAACTTGATTTTTCTTTCTTTTTTTTTTCTTTTCTTTCTTTTTTTTTGTTTTTTGCTGCTTGCTTGGCAATACCACTTAAATGTTTTGGGGAAAATTTTTTCATTGCGATTATCATTATTTCTTGCAAGTAACTTAGATAAGACTAAATAAATCCATATCATAACCGCACCGTTGACATATAACGTCAGCATAGGTTTCCCAGTCATACAAAATCRCCTCTAACAGAGACTGAGGTCATTACAGAGAAATCTCGGATGGAGTTTGTTTATTGTATTGATAGTRCATCACAACCAAGATCTGAGATTTCACTATAATCACCTAACAGAAGAAGTCCAAGAAATTATTCATCACATGGGTTTGTAAGGGTTTCTTTTTAGGGTCTGTTCACACTAGGGCATAACCATGTCGAACAAAAGAAAAGACAAAGGAATSAAGTCAAGCATGCATCAATACAAGCATAGCAAGAACCAAAGACAAATAGAAATAAACAATGAAAAGGACCTTCTGTTTTGTCTTCTTTATCCTTAAACCCTTTTTTATGGAGCTTGTGCTTATGTTGCAGTGTGAACTGGCCCTTAACAACTACTTGCACACACAAAAGATCATTGAAGGTTATGCTCAGTGAACCTAAGCGCTGACAGTGTGAATAGTTACACAACTGCAACACTCTTTTCAAAATTTACAACAAGATCTATTGCACACAAAAACGCATTATTTAATGTCATAAACCACATGCTTTGATGTGTTTATGGGTTAAAACATTTCTCAAGAAAAGTTCAAAAGTCAAGATAAAATATGAAGATATAATTTTCTGCAGTTTTTTGTTCTTAGAAAACTTTTGTAACTCTTCTTGACTGTATAGCTAATTTCAACTCGGCAGTAGTTTCTGCATCAGTCATGTCTTTCATAATCTATAAACTACAGCAAAATAAAACCATATTGCAGAAATATTATCATTGATAGAAGTGTTTTTGTTTTGGTTACTAGAAAGATACACTATGTTTTGCAGTGTTTTGTGTTGCAATTTTCACCTTGTCCAAACCTGTGAAAAATATAATGACCACAAAATCTCCACAGTCATTATCTGTCAGCAGACAATCAGAGTCTGTGAATCTGAGCCCATTTCACAACTAAATATAATCATATGGCAAAATTATATTCATCTAAAATCTAGAACATTTCTAATATTACCTTTAGTGAACTGATTGTTTACTGGATCTACACCAAACCAATTAAATACCACATCAGGAAGTTGAATTCTTGGTATAAAGGTATTGTGTTTGTCCAGGGATTTTGGTGAGGCATAGAAGCTATGATTCATCCAATGTGGAATGTTATAATCATCACCCAATTTGACTTCATTCTCGCCTCCTTTATCAAAGAACTTTAAAAGAGGAACTGAATGAAGTGGTTGCTCTGCCATACACACCAAATCCACTGCAACACCTAACAAAAGTAGTTGTAACATTAAAATTGAAAAGAATACTTTCTACAAATCATACCTTACAGAAGAGTACAATAATAATAATCTATTTTTCTGTATAGCAAACAGTTAAGAAATTGTGACTTACCACTATCAATCATTCTCTGTTTTGTAATGCTGTTTAATGCTCGATCAACTTCGAAGACACCAGTTCCAGGTGTAACAACTAATATGGACTGGCCTGTACAATCAAAGTTGCGGTCTTGGTAATGTTTCTCAAATACTGAATGAATAAGGAATAGACAAATAAGTATATATCCATGTCAGTAGTCTTTGTGTACACAGCTTTGATCAAAGATACAACCAATATGCTTTTCAATATAGCAATTTGCAAATAATTAATATCAATATGACATGTTTAGTTACATTATTCTATCAAAATAAAACAATTTATTTTCCACCCAATATAATGAGGTCAGTTCTATGGAAGGTAAACAAAATATTCAAAGTTATCTGAAATATAATTCATGGAGTGAATTATGAGTGCAACATTTTATGATGAAAAGAGTGTGTCAATAATAGGACATACAGTACAATGAAAAACCATATTGTGCATTTTGTTTTTTACTACATWTAAGTCTAAAAYWTTTTTTCTTTCAACTGAGKGGGCCCCAGAAAATTAATTCAATATTGTATGCAATATTTAGTTAATTCTTTCTTCAGCAGCTGATAAAAGTACACTGAAAGCCACAACAATATCAAAAATTGCTAACAACTATTCTGTTAAAAATATATAATGTTCTGCTAAACCATGCACAGTATGATTATGAGTGACATATCATTTGCTAAAATCATTACGTGTCCATGTAGAGGTAAAGTTTATCAGTCACTGACAAGACATACCTTAGAATATTATTACTTAGATTTGTATTTAATATTATTAATACATATAAAACATTTGCTCTATACAGTATTTTTTCCTTACTGTTCATTGAAAGATTAATTGCCTCCAAGAAATTGCCTTCATGTGCAGTTGAATTTATTCCAACAGCTGACTCCCCTTGACATATGGTAAAATTTTGGTACTGGTTTATATGGTACTTGAGAGTTACTAAGACAGGCAACCAGTCATCTTTTCTCTCACCCCTGGTTAAGACTTGGTAGAAGTCTTCGTAAAATCTCCCATGTGGATCTCGTAATATGCTTTTTCTTTTATCAGGGAATAGATCTAGAAAACAGTTACTGTTGTTGCTGCACAAATTACACAAATTATTCACCATATATTATGTACTGTGCACTATACAAATGTGCTATACACCAGAATGTATTGTCACATTTATCAAAGCATTTATTATTAATTACTGTGCAGTTGCATGTATCTGCTGGTTTGAATTATTTAAGGTTACAAAAACTTGATGAGAGGATTGAGTCTACCAGTAAATATCAGGGTATAGTAGTATATTAGGGTAGTTGCCGATTGCAATTATGAGAGGATTGTTGTATAAAAAAACATAATGTGTAACTTTGTTTGTTTTTGTTTTGTATTTTCTCAGATATATATTTCCTAACATCAAAGGCAGCATTGTGTTTAAGTATCAATGTGTCACAGAATGTCTGAAGAGTGATTTCATGATATTTTGGGAAATGAAATAATATGTATCTCAGACCATCAGAATTCAGTAGCTTCTTCATGTGCATCGTTGACTTTAATATAACCAGTTACCTTCACTTTGATAGAATCTTCTGGAGAACAGAACAATAGTCACTTCATGATTTGCTTTCTTTTTTTTCCATTGTGAAAACAGCTCATACAGAAAACCATTGATGACTTTTTCAAAGTATAAATCTCCATGAAGGTCAAATTCCCACATCTCACAGCTCATTTGAATGTACAAAAAAATTTGAGCTGAAAGAGAACGGTAAACAACCTAAAAAAATAAGATTGTAAGAAGAATTAATGATTTGATTGATGAAAAAACAACAGACATAACGAGAGTAGTGAAATATTACAAATCTTACACACTTACTACAAGTACTTTTAAAATTTTAAAATATCAATCATATATACTGATATTACCAACCCATAATCTCAAAACAACATACATCCCACAAATGCTATAAAGTGATTGACAATGGGTACACATTGATTAGCTAGACCACAGGACTCAAAATAACACTTGGACATACACTTTTGGAAGGTCAGTATCGAATTCATCATTTTATACTCATTGATCAAGAACCGACTGAGCGCATGTAAGGTAACCACAACACAGGAATCTCAAAGCTACATAAATAGTGATGTAGAGACATGTAACCCTAACAAACAAGTATAAAATCAATCAGAAACTCTTCAATGACAAGCTAATAAATATTGATTGTAAATAAGATTGTAAAAGAGACATTAAATGAACCAGTTTTTTTTTTCTCTCTCTCTCTCTCTCAAAATATGTCCAGCCAATTTGTCAAAAACCAATTTTTCTGGTCATTCCACAAATATAACTAGACGCTCCTGGAGCGTGAAGCCAGACTAGCTATTTTTGAAAATTGATAAAGACACAAGTGAAAAGATTATGATGTTATATTCTCTCTAATCATATATTGATTATATTATGAATGTACACCTAATTACAGAAACGTTGTCCAAGAAAAAAGAACTTTTACTGTTTAGGAATTAATTAAAATACAAAAGAAAGTGTTCGGCTTCAGTGGTCATGTTTTGTCTTTTAATTTATTCCTAATTTCCTAAATCCCTAATTCTCAGGACAACATATTCGTAATTGGGTGTAAATTATGGTGTAGAATTTATGTTTTTTGGAGTAACTATCGAATATCCCGCATCCAAAAAAGCATCCTATGATTTGATTACAGAAACGCGTCAAAAATGGTGTACCTGTGTCTAATATATACTTATACATGTCTTTAAAGAATGAGAAATTCTTATATGTAGTGGCTACGCGTCAACCCGTGCTAAGCATCAAAAATGGTATATTGGTATACCTGTGTTATACGCGTTGACACATTGATGCGTAGCCAAAAATATATCTATACTAAGGTGGCTATGCATCAACGCGTAGCCAGCTATGCGTTAGTTGTCCGAGGTGTGGGGTATTAGATAGTTGTACCTGTTTTTTACTTCTAATACATAGTGAAAGCAAGAGTGCATTACTTTCACTTTAATGTACAGTTCAAAACCGTTTATTCGCATGATACGATATTCTTTTTGACTGCTCTCTGCAACGACTTCAAAACAATAGAAATCTAAATTTGACCTAAAAGGTCATGTAATTAATACCCTGCGAACAACTTACAACTGAACTGATAAAATCAAACGTCAGTCAAAATGTCGCTAAAAGAGATATCTAATGCATTTTTAATTCAAATTGTTGACCTCTTAGGCCAAAAAAAATTAATTTAAATCTTTTATTTAAAAAAATATATTCCTATAAAATAATCGCCCTTTTGTTATTGATAAACAAAGTTTCTTCTTGTTCTAATTTGAAATATTTGCCCATAGTGCTAGAATTCAGTTTTGGAAGCATACTAATTGTACTTCTGATGCCTAGATCGATGCAACATTTACTAACTATATTCGTACATCTATGCGTTTGAGCTTCCCGTCATGTGATAACACAGGCAACCCAAAGAATACCAGTGATCTCGCCCCCAAGTGATCTCGCCCCCACACGTATAACATTGTATTATTGCTATTTTTCTAGAGCAAGAAGGGTAGTGCCATCAGCTTTCGTATTAAGATGTAAGTGGAGTTGACTTCATTGTAAATCAATTTATAGCTGTACCGAGATTTGAATAGGATCGAAATGAACCAATCATGGCGTGCTGTGTCCAGCACGCGTGGGTGTAGGACGCTTTTTGTTTTGGTCGAAGGAGATCTTTTTAACAGCATTCGTAAAGCACTCTATACCTGAATTATTACGTTCTTTGGTCTCCGATGACATACATAATTTCGCACATTTAGGCAAACCAGCGAAATCAATTGCCTGACGAGGCAAACAAACCAAATCATATCAATCGCCAGAAAATAATAAAAATAAATTAAAAAATACAGTCTGAAATATTACAGTGTACATATACAGTTCTAATCTTGTTTCTTTTTGCGATGTATTTTCCCTCCTTAAAATCAAATAAACTTTTAAGTTTTAAAAAACCAATTTGGACAAGCATCACAGAATTTACATATTGCAGCACTTTACTTTCGATAGAAACCGCTAGTAAGTTTAATTTTATTAGCTGGTATTAGTGTTTATGAATGTTATTTAGTTTAGTGAAAAATAATTGCATGTATCAAGAACTTTACCCTGGTATCCTTTGATATCACACCACAAATCATCTGTTTTCCTTTTCTCCAAAGTTCATGAATTTGTCCTCTGAGACCACAGAATGAAATTTTTTTGGAGATATACACACATTTTCCTACTAAGGCTTTTGATAATCTCCACATGTCACTCCTGCTGATGTACTGGTCTTTTACAACCACTTCAACCAAATCAACTTCGACATCACTGTGCTCTACCTTTAAATGAAATCAATGAATTTTAATAATATAACCAACAATAAATTAAAATAAACAAAACAAATAATATATCATCATGGTTAAATTTGAGGTCTTTTCGAGTGTGTGGTTAATGAGTTACAGTCAATCGAACACAAGTCATATTTTGGAAAGAGTGTATGTGGCAACCATGAAAGTGTACAAATGTGTTTACATTGAGTGATAAAAAAAAMCATTCATGAATATAGGTTGATGCACCCTTGGGAATCAAAACCTGGTAAGTTGTGTACAATGTAAGCATTCATCACCACTGTTATCCTTCATGAGTTTGTAAGCTTTCTTTTGATTGGAGGAATAAAACATTGCTCATTGTTTACTCGTTCTTAAAACCTATTGTTTTCTTTTATAAACCAATGAGATGAGATCTTGCAAAACCTTGAAAGGCTACTCATGAGCACTTGACTCCGGCTATATAATTATTTTTGCAATGCCGTCGTCACCCACATCTCAAATTCAATAAATACACAAAGCTTCTCAAATACATTAAGTAGATGAGAACCATATCGAGTTTTACACAAAAACACTGTTCCTACTGTTCCCTCGAGTTCATAAACTCAATCAATCAATCAATCTCAATCAATCTGCTGCCGTGGGCYGGGCCCACATAGCGCTTTCACAAAGGATCTCCACGCTTTCCGATCTTGGGCAGCTACCATCGCCTCATGGAAGGAGACACCAGAGTCTTGCAAATCTCTTGAAACTGCGTCTCTCCAGCGCATCCGCTGTCTTCCTGGGCGACGGCATCCTCGTGGCTCCCAGAGCAGTAGGCGACAGGGCAGGCGTGTGTCGGCCATGYGTGAGACATGACCGAGCCAAGTCAAGCGCTTTTGTCGCAGGATGTTGATAAGCGACGTCTGACCAGTTCGCTGAAATATTTCAGCGTTTGAGACGTGATCACGCCAGGACACCCCAAGGATTCTTCTCAGACATCTAGTGTGGAAAGCTGCAAGACGCTTCTCTTCCTGAGCGGTAGTGTTCCAGGTTTCGGCGCTGTACAATAGGGTAGAGATCACTACAGCCTGGTAAATTGACAACTTCGTTGTCAGTTTGATAGACTTGTGTCGCATAACGGGCATGAGTGTGTTGAAAGCACTCGCAGCTTTCCCGATACGGTTGTCAAGCTCCGGGGAGAGATCACCATTGTGGGTCATTGTACTTCCTAAGTAGACGAATTTATCGACGTTCTTGAGTGCGCCTTGGTTACTCATAGTGATAGTGATGTCGGTTCTTTCTCTTTCCACGCTCATGATTTTGGTTTTCTTCGAATTGACGCAGAGTCCAACTTTCGTTCCTTGTTCTTCCACCTTTGATGTTGCATATTGCAGTCTTTCTTCTGTTTCGTCAATCAGAGCTATGTCGTCCGCAAAGTCGAGATCAGATAATCGTCGCTGTTGGTAACGCGAGCTTCTTCGCCTCTCCAGTATCATCCCTAGGTCATTCTTATCCAGGGCGTTCTTGAGGACCCAGTCGATTAGGATGCCAAACAACAAGGGGGACCATACACAGCCCTGCCTGACTCCTGTTGTCACTTCAAACCAGTCTGTCATTTCACCCTCCACTTCCACGCAGCATTCTGAGCCATCGTAGGTATTCTTCATGATGTTAATGATCTTCCTTGGGAGCCCATAGGACTCTACTATCTTCCAGAGCGAGTCTCTCTGTACACTGTCAAAGGCTGCCTTGAAGTCAATGAAGTTTATCTTGACTGGGAGCTGGAATTCAAGGCATTTTTCGATGAGCTGGCGTAGAGCGAAGCACTGGTCAGAACAGGATCTTCCTTTCCGAAAACCAGCCTGGTTTTCTCTAAGACGTTCATCCATTGCGTCTCTTATTCTCAGTAGAATCAAGATGCAGAATACCTTCCCAGCTATGCTCAGAAGTGTGATACCGCGGTTATTGCCACAGATYGTGATGTCGCCTTTTTTAGGGATTTTGACAATGGTCCCTTTCTTCCAGTCTTTTGGAGCCTTTTCAGTTGACCAAACGAYGATACATATTCGTAGCAACCAGTCAATCAACTTGTCTCCTCCAGCTTTAAGCATTTCTCCTGTGATCTTATCACATCCTGCCTCTTTGTTGTTTTTAAGCCTTTTAACTGCCYGAATTACTTCCTCTTTGGTAGGAGGGCTTAGGTCGACACCCATTTCGTCTAGCTYATCCCACTCGGGGATGATATCCTCCAATACAATGTCAGRTGGTTCGACATTTAGAAGTTCTTTGAAATGTTCTGCCCATCTTTCCATTTTCTTTTCTTTGCTATCAATTAGTTTACCGTCTTTGTCTTTGACTATTGACGTATTCCGGGACTTTTTGCCTGTCAGTATTTTAACCTTTTGGTAGACTTMCTTCTGACTCTTCTTACTTGCWGCTTCTTCAAGCTCTTTTGCTTGAGTATCTATCCAGTCCTTCCAATCTTTCTCAGCATTGTTTTTAACTTTCCTGTCCAATTCTCTATACCGGTWCTTACTTTCATTCGTCTGCAACTGATCTCTTACTTTCTTGGCGTCTCTCCGTTGTTCAATGAATTCACGCGTGTTGGTACTTATCCAGCATTTGAATTTACCAGATTGCTGGCCTACTGTTTCCTCCGCTGCTGTGTAGACTGACTCTCGAAACCTGTCCCACTCATGATCAACATCTGGTTCAGATACTAAGTCCGACAAGGCATCAAAGCGACTCGTTATCTTTAATTGGTAGTTTTCTGCCATGCTGGGGAGGAGCAGTTCTGCATCCTTAAGCCTAGGTTTCTTTGGCTTCTTTCCTTGAGCAGCCAGCTTCAATTGAATTTTGGCGATGACCAGCTYGTGATCGCTCCCTATGTCAGCACCTCTAATTTAGTCAGCACCTCTAGTTTAGTTCATAAACTAACACAACATATATCTGCCTAGACGGGTCCAGGCTCAAATCTCCACATAAGCACAAGTATAGTAGTTCAGGAGAGAATTGTTTTAGAAACAGAAAGAAGGGTCTTGCGATTGTCCCTAATATAGCCATTGCATGCTTGGTAGCTCCTCCAGCCACCATGGCTTGCTATCAGCCTCTCGGAAATTCCATGCTTGGCTGCGGCAGATGCTCCACCGGAGCGAAGGCTGTGGAGACCATACTCGTCACATTTTAGGCCTATGTCCTTGAACATCTTTAGGACTAACTTCCTTGCTGAAGAGTATTTCAGCTTGTGGCATGAAACAAGTTCCTTATTTCCAATGCCAGCAACTTCTCTCAGTAATGGTCCACTCGATAGACCAGAGCGACACAAGAATCTCTGAACAATAGAGACTGGGCAGAGCTCATGTTCCGAGCGACTGTAGTAAACAAAGTTCCCCTTATGGAATTGGTCGTTCTTTCGTTTTTCCAGGAACACTGACATGTAACATTTGTGGAATTGAATACCATCTACTTTAATCAAGGACATGTCACTCCAANGAGGGCTTTCCGATGAGCCCAAGAAATCCCATATGTCATTGAGATAACCGAGCTGCTAGATTCTGAGTGTTTGGCGACGTCTGTAAGACAGAGAGCAACATTGCGGCCATCTCCTGGGAGACTTGGAAGATTGTGTTCACTGGCCCACTTGCACCATCTATTGAATCCTCTCAAGTATGAGGACACTGTGGACGGAGCCCGATCCTGGAGGACGAGGTTCTTAAGCTCAGGAAGCAACGGTAGCAATGATGGTCTAGAAGAACATGCACCCTCAATATCCTTCCACGGAGTTGAAGACAAAGGACCTGACAAGCCAAGCAAAATGCAATAAACAAAACATTTGAATAATTCAATAATTAAGCTCAATAATTGGATAGTATAATGACGACAGTAAGTCAATGTTTACGTAACTTTCAGAAGGTACCCCAACTGGTTGTTCGTACGGGCAACAACCTTCGCAGCCTCCACTGCAGCAGTGGGGAGCCCTAGTGCATCAATCTGCRACTGMATTGGTTTCTGTCACTGAATAATAGCTGAAACAGCCTCCACTACTGTAGTGGGAGTTCAGTACCATACTACAGCCAAGTCATTGTCCTTCCGCTGCAACAACATCTGTCACTGAATAATAGCTAAAAATAGCCTCCACTACTGTAGTGGGAGTTCCGTACAAYATCCACAGTGAAGTCATCACATTTAGTGCCAAAATTCTGCAGTTTGGAGTACCATTGCCAAATAAGTCACTATCGGCARAGCCAGGAAGAAAGGTGCTTGGATGAAGCGGGATATCACGATAGTCTAATACAAAGTCCTGCATACTACCGCTGTYAMTTAGAATAAGAGACCACMATGGGGCAGAAGGCCAAAAAGGGACAACCAGAGTACCAATCTCGCCACCATATGTCATATGCCTAAGGACTCTGGCTATAAGGTGGGTT